GGGAAACCCAGGCCTTGTGATGGATGTGTTTTTTCCCAGGACTCAGGAGGCAGAGGCATGCAGATTTCTGTAAGCTCAGGGCAGCCTCCTCTACATAGCAAATTCCAGGTCAGACAAGTCTACGCAGTGAGGCCCTGTCTTCAAAAGTACACCAAAATGAAGTGAAAGAAAAGTGAAGAGGGTTAGAATGGGAGAAGCCCCTGCACAAGCCAGAGTATACATGTCAGACACCAGGACAGAATACTAGCATCCACCAACAACACCTTTGCAGCCTGGGTACAGCCTCTGTCTGCCGCTCTACTTAGAAATGTCCCCTGTCTCTCTGTGTGGAGCATTCTAGCCCAATGTTACATCTCTCTGTGTCAATTTTATCTTGGCTTTGATAGCAACAGACTAGTGAACCCTGAAACCAAGTTGAATGCAGAGTCCAGTGCTATTAATAAACCTGAGGAGGCTCTCTCCTTAGTTACCTGAAGCATGTGTTAAAGGAGCAGAGGAAATCAGGTGGCTGAGACACCTATCTCCCATCAGAGAGATGGGAGACCTGAGACCCCTGGCAGGGGCATCTCAATCCAGGGCAAAATTCCTTGGGGTGTCATTGAATTGCTTGCTTACATCCTTTCTCAATCACTTTCTTAAGTCTCAGGGTGACCTGTTCATTCCCTATGTCTTGTCACAATGCAATTTCACTTGTGTTCATCCACCAAAGGGGCATCCAAGGAGCCACCACCCACTCCAACCAGCCTCACAAAGAGGCAAGTGAAGAAGGTGAAGAGTCTGACCACTCAGCCCCAGGTGATGACAGCCCAAAGGAATCCTCTGAGAGATCGCTTCATCTTAGTATTTGAAGGATCCTTGGACAACAGGTATTTACTGTTTCATAATACATGGTTACTGTCTTGGTTTTACAATTTCACCCTTTGTTCAAATGTCTAAAATATTGGCGTGTGGGAGGCTCGGTGCTCCTTCAGGGTGTCCCATTGTCCAACACAATTTCTCTAAATGCTTCCCTGAAGCAAAACCTGGCACATGGGCAGGAGTGAGATGGGGACATAGACTGTTCTACTTCCTCCAAATGAAAACCAGAGCCTGTGGCCTGAATCACATAACTCAGGAATTGAGGCAGTAGTGTGTGAATTCCCAGCATGAAATTGGAGAGATCCTGTCAAGTGGTGGCTAGTGTGAGAATGCTGTAATTTGTATTACTTGCCTGGCAAGGTATTGTGTGCTGGATGATCCTAGTAGCAGCTGCAGAGGCCTGGTCCCACATCTTAAAATGTGGCAGCAAGGCCTGGTACTGATGTCTGCTGCTCTTAGTCCTCTCTGAGATGATACAAAGGCATGCATGAATTTGGCATCTCACTGAGAACATTCTATCCACTTCCCTCTCTCAGTCTCTGTTTTTCTTTCACTTCTATCTCTCTCTGTATCTCTCTGATTCTCTATTTCTGTCTCTGTGTCTCTCTCTCATCCCTCTATCTTATCTGTGTTTGTGTGTTTTTCATATGTGTCCCTCTTCACCCTGCAATCAGGGGTCAGTGTTTGACCATGAAGAGTTGCTTATCTCAGTATCTAGATGTGCTTTCTATTGTGGACTAAGAGCCCCATTTTGGGCAGCATAGCCCTTTGCCAGTCTGTTTATCTTGCTGCCAATGTGGAATGCTTTGGGGGAATTTATGAAGCTATCATGATATTGCATCCCATCCTCAGAAATGCTCATGATGTGATTTTTAGCCTCCATGTCAATATAGGCACTCTGGAATGAGAATCTCTTATTTGAAAACAGAAGAAACATCACAATTTCTAGTGGGTCATGACCCGTGATAGACTGTGGGAACTCCATAGCAAGCTAGCTGGCATGACTCCTGAGGGAGCTCATTCAGTCCCAGCTGCATCCTTCTTAACACCCTGCCCTTGCTGGCTTGTGGCCAGAAGTGCAAGTGTAAGAAGCAGCTGGAGGTCCATAGGAGCTCGAGTACATAGGAGCCAGGAAGGGGCATCTCATGGGTTGAAATAGTACAGAACACACCCTACACTCATGTGCTATGTGACCTGTATTCATTGAATTCTTTGCTTCTGGGTCCAGACTCTACCACAGGCCAAATCCTTTCTGTGAAAAGCTCAAGATGGAACATCAGTAGGTCATGTCTGACCTGCAGAATTTCAAGAATGAGAATATGGAGGCCTCACAGAATCTCAGTGAGCTGACCAAGGAGAAAGTCTTCCTTTGGTACGTGCTCATCTTGGCAGAGACCCCAACTGTTGTACAATGTCCAATTCTCATTATCTTTGTCTCTGGACTGCAGGGTCTGCAGATCTGCTTCTAGATTTTCTGCTTCTTAGCCAGTAGCATTAAAGTAGATTTGGACTATGCCTCTTTACTCAGTTTTGCTAAGGGTTAGAGAAACTGTTAGCTCCTACAGCACCATATTGTCATACTCAGTAGCCTCTGGATCAGTGATTATCAACATTCCTAATGCTGTGCCACTTTAATACATTGCTTCATTGTTTTGATGACCTCAAACCATAAAATTATTTTGTAGGAACTTCATAACTGTAATTTTGCTACTGCTATGAATTTTAATCTAAATGTCTTCATAGGACATCTAATATGTGTTCCTTGTGAAAGGTTCCTTAGATTCCAAAGGGTTCACACACACATATGAGAACCTCTGGTTAGGTAGAAGAGCAATTGGCCTCACGAGAGGGTTGTCAGGATCTATGCACCCTTTCGGTCTCCCACTTCCTCAAGTGAATTTCACATTACCTGCTGGTGTTTCTTCATGACAGGTGATTAGGACAAGTGGGGTACTCTTCTTGTTTTTTTTTTTTTTTTTTTTTTTT